GATATCTAACTGTAGAATATGCACAAAATGTAGATACAGTGTGAATGAATGAAGCAGAGTCTATAGAATTTCGTCTGTTAATTGTAGGCCCAGGAATTAAAAATATCCGAGGTGTCAGGGAAAGAGATATGGCGTAGAATGTCAGCGCTTCAAAGCTAACTGAAGGAAGCTTTTGAGCTGTTAACTGCATGATTTAATCACCCTTGGATTGTAGTTCTTCAATAAAGATAACCATCTTTGGTACGAAAGCTGTCTTTTCAAAGGACAGTTTGTCTTTACTCTTTGGTGTACAATAAAGTTTTAACAACATTCAATAGTCCTATGGGAAGCAAATGTGTACACCATAGCTCATACACTAGCGTATCGCTCGTGTGCGAATCGCAAAACGATAGTAGTGGAAGTACGAAATGACTCCCTAATTTAACTGATCTCAGTCAGTACTTAGAACACTGCAGTTCAAGGGATGACAGACTAGCATAATAATAAGAATAACAAAAATCAAGGAATGATTAATGCCTGCTGTTTAAAAATACTCATAGTTTTGGTTTTAATTATAAAAATATCTTTGCTTAATTCTGATTGGTCCATATGTATTAATTTTTGTTAAAATTAAATGACCTACGGACAAATATATATATATATATGCTTGCACTTTATGTACTTTAAGGCTACACCAACAGTTACATGGATCATTTATCTGCCATCATATCTGAATATATTTTGACTTGTAAAAAGCCTCACTAAGCAAGAATGAGTCATCATTAAAAATAACCTCAACGTGTTTGCAAAGAAACAAAAAGTCGAAATACTATTTGTTTTCGTGCACGTCTGTTTCTGATTAAGTGACAGTTCATTTAGCAATTGTTTAGTTTTTGATAAACGTTTAAATAAAACCAAAACTGATTTGTTTGAAGGTCACTTCATAGGTTAGATGTGAATGAGAAGCGTAAAATAGTGCAGAGACTCTGTTCATCAACCTATATATATATATATATATATATATATATATATTTATTTATTATTATTTCCTTTAAGTCCTAGAGGAACATAGGGCTTCAGCCAAACGTCTCTATTGTGTTCGGTTCTCTGCGAGACTTTTCACCCGGCTCCAAGTCTGCCAACATGTTTTCATCTCCTCTTCACATGACCTCCTTCAAGTCACCCTCACACTGACGACCAACTCGCCACTCCTCTTTCGGGTTCCACTCGATTAATGGCTTGTCTAGTGATGTCACTTGATGGTTTCCTCAGAGTATGGCCACCAATCCACCTCAATTTATTTCTGCCTATTTGTTTCACAATCGGTTCCTAGTTGGTTCACTCATTGACAGAGATCCCTGTTGCCGATCTTTTCTGATCGACCATCTGATCTTGAGTACTATTGGGCGAAGACAGTTGTTAATAAAGGTTAGTACTGTGTTCGAAATGCCCTTCGTGACACGCGCCAAGTCTCTCTCCGTACAGTGAGTAGCACTGACTTCACATTCGAGTTCAAAATCCGGATCTTAATTCGCATGTTCCCTCCTGTAGTTGAAACGATGCTTCCCAAGTAGGTAGGTAAAGAAGGTTGTTTCTTTCAAGTTCCTCCCATTTATGCTGGCTGATTGTTCTGTTGTTGTTGGATTATCTTAAGTTCTGCCTCGACATATGCTGTCCCAAACAAACACTGTTCAAACGCCTCGACCGCTTCTCGTCTCCCCGTCTCAAACAACTTCGCAGGCAAAAAGAAATGTTATATAAATGCAAAGACAAGTTAGGACTTAAAAAGATTAATGCTCAAATCAAATCTGAAATCAAAAATCTTAATGCTATCTATAACCAAACACTTTTATCATGCAAATCTCCTAACAGCATGTGGAAACTTTTCAATGAAATTACTGGCAAAAGTAAGCGATGTAATGTTTTTCCCTCTTGTGATGTTAATGCTCTTAATCTGTCTTTTTTACGCTCTCCTTCTACTATAACCACTTCTAACGTTACTAATCTTGTAGCTGATAACTTCCAGGACTTCAATACTCTCGATGTTTTGAAATGTCTTAAAACTCTTAAGCCCTCACATAGTCTTGGCCCTGATGGCATACCTGCATATGTTCTAAAACAATGTGCAGATGCTTTATGTTTCCTCTAACTAATATCCTAAATGCTTCTTTCTCCGAAAACGTTGTACCTGTTCCATGGAAAGACATTAAAATAGTCCCTGTCCCTAAACCTGGAAATAGCAAGAACGTAAAGTTCAGACCCATCGCCATCACTTCCCCGTTTCTAAAGCTCATGGAAAAACTAGTACTTCTTAAACTCGAACCCTCCCTTAAAAGCTTCGAAGACCCCAAACAATTTGCCTACAGACAGGGTAGGAGTACTTTAGACGCTGCAGCCGTCTTACACAACAGTATTATCTCATCATTAGACAAAGGTGCCAAATATGTCCGCTGCACGTTTCTTGACTTTACTTCTGCTTTCGACTCTGTACCTAGAAGTCTCTTGCTAAATAAGCTCTCCATGACACAAACCGAGTCCTGGGTCACTAACTGGTTGCATTCCTACTTTTCAAACAGAATGCAGTACACCGTATACAAAGGCCAATCCTCCTCTGCTGTGCTCACAGAAGCTGGTGTCCCCCAAGGTGCTGTACTCTCCCCACTTCTCTTTTCTTTCTTTCTACATGACCTACCGTCTTCAAATGACATTAACTTTGTCAAATATGCTGATGACCTAACTGTATCTTTACCTGTCAAATGTCAAAGTGACTGCTCTAAACTAAATGGCTTCTTATCGGAAATTAGCCAATGGTCCAAGGAAAACGGTCTAACCTTAAACCCCTCCAAATGCCAAACAGTTAATTTCACCCTTAGGCATAAATCTGACCTAAACAAACTGGTTAGCACTCACGAGGTGTGCAACATAGATGGCAGTGAAATAGAAACCAAGTCGGAAATTAAATACCTAGGCGTCACTCTATCTTCTGATCTTTCCTGGTCGTCTCATATCTTGACGATTTCCAAGAAAATATACCGTCTTACCTTCTACATCAAGAAGTTAAGACATTCTGGTGTAACCCAACCCTTACTCCTACAATTTGTTAACTCCCGTATTCTGCCTATTATTCTCTATTGCTCCCCCTTAGTCTTTCCTGGGCTATTGAAGAAAGACTATACCTTATTACGTAGGATGTTAAAGGTTGTCAGCAGGGTAAGCAGTTTGCCACTTAGCCAGCTTGTTAATATTCTGGTGGACAGGCACATGGACTCATGTGAAAAATGGGCGAAATCCATTTTATCTGACTCACAACACCCTCTACATTCACAACTCTCCCCATGTATCTCTTCAGGGAAAACAAGAAGCCTATATAGGAAACTATATGCCCGCACTAGTAAGTACAAAAACTCATCCATACCCTACCTAGCTCGTGTTCTGTGCGATAAAGAATGCATCAGGCAGGAAACCTTTAACTTATTAAATAGTCAGTAGAACCAATGGATCTCGTCTTTCCAACTCACATCATTTATAGGTACAACGTTTTCTCGCTCTTCATTCTGTATTTATTTTTGTTATGTGCTGTTTTGTTTCTCTCTTCCTTGCAAACTCTACTTAAAACATTCTTGTTCGTTCTTTCACACTCTGTATATCTCGACCATTTTGCTATCGCTTACGCCAGTAAATATGCTAGTAGTATCTACTTTTCTAACACCTTCAAACACTTTAATTTTGGCTTTGCTACCGACATACTAATATGTTGTTGAGATAACTTTAATCTATGTAGAACTTTATTTATTGTTAATGTAAAAACTGGATGCAATATTGTAGTAAAATGCTGAGAATTCCATTCTGTATCACAAGTACTGTTTGGGAATAAAGCTTATGTTATGTTATGTTGTTGCTGGCCAGGAATCTTCATCACCTCTGTTTTCTCTATGTTCACCTGACGTCCCATCTTCTCTGGATGCTTCTTCTGCCAACTTGCTGCTTTTTATTTGCATATCTTCCAGGTTGTGGGAAATCAGACTATATATATATCATCTTTCGGACAATCGATTTTTTGCCTTGATTTATCCCTACTCTCTCTTAAAAAACAAGTATTTTGGAAGTTACAGGATAAACACTTTTGTAAAACCATCATTGGGCATCCATCATTTCCTAGACTGGTGAGCGCCTATAGACAAACTACTTCATCTCCTCACAAATTCATCATTAAGATAAGAGTGACACTTTTGTGTATTTCACACTTGAGAAGACGGCGAAAATTCAATGAGAAAGTAAGGAGACAGAGAGAGAAAAACAAATTCCTTTTCTTTCCAATATGTATTTCCGCTAATCATAAAATCAATTTATCGATTGATTAACACCACAACAACAACGACGACAACACCATCAACAACAATAACAGCACAGTGTTATCAAATAATTACTGATATTAAGGCGAGGAGAAAAACGCAAAAAAAATTTCTTCAATTTGTTCAATATCTGGTAACTATAATATTCATTATTTTGAAAAAAGTGTTTCTGATGAGGAGAATAGAAGAAAGGAAACGCAGGGGAATTGCACATTAGGCACAACATACACCTTTACACACACAAACGAATAACTGAATGAATATACATCATACAAAACAACAAAAGTACACAATCAGTATGGACCAAAAAAAAATAAACGTGGAAAAGACACGTGAATTCATAAGCGCCTTTAAGAAAAATAATAATACCAAAAACAGTTGATGAAAACAGAGATACTGAATACAAAACGCAAATAAATCACAGTTTCATAAATACACACACACACACACACACGCATAAATGAAAGATCACATGACAAAATACATTTTATACAACAACATTGTATAAGGACGAAATAAACAAACAAAAAGAGAGGGTAAATACTTTTGAATTTTTGAAATGAGCGCGAAGAGAATCAAGGTCACAAGTGGAATGTTTAAACAACACACTAATCAATAATATCACGTCACACACCTACACACAAACAAATGAAATAATCACCGTTATTGTCATGATAATATTATCTTTTCAATACATGTTGATAAATTCTTACGAAATATATTAGTAGAATTACAAAATATATTTGAAATAATTTCGTGTTCATTATCATTTTTTTTAATATTGACAGCTGAACAATACCATGAAAATTGAATTAGGCATAATTGATTGTCGGCTATAGTTTGACCAGCTAAATACACAGTGATATAACGACTGTCATCGTTACTGGTGTTATCAGTTGGTCGAGATACAAGTGTGCTGTCTGAACATCCAAAATCTGTGCATACTCGTTTAGAATTCATATACATTTTACTAAATTGATATTTCACATTGATGTGCTGTAAAAGATTAGCTGTCAGTTGGCGAGAATATTCTGTTGGATTTGTGGAATTCATATTAAGATGACCTTTGAGTTTTAAATGCATATGACGAAATGATTGACTTGAGATTAGTTTGTCTAGGACAAAAAGTAGAAAGAACAGAAAGCAATGAAACAACAAGTAACAATAAAGGCAAAAGTTATTAGGTATTCCGTTACCCTTGACCCTTCATATATATTCACACGGAAATATATTAACAAGTTAGTCAGTAGTGTGTTTGATGAATAGGAAGGGTTGCGTGTGAGATGGGCACCCCTATATCCTAAAAAATATCACCATCGCTACTGATACTTCACAGTTCACGCTGGAATCCAACTGGCAGGCAAGGAAATGAAAGAAAGGAGAAAATACAAGAGAGAACTGATAAAAATGTCGAGGAATAAATGAACTACTAACAGTAGTATAAAGTAACACAACAAAGATTTCGACATTCTTGTTCATAAAAACTTGGGAAATATTGATAACTGTAAAAACCGTTACAAAACTACTCTAACAATATATATATTAATTACAGAAAGCAGAAAGTGGTAACGGTTCCATTCGTCGTTACTGGTTCGAAACACAAATTTCTCTGCACAACCAGCTAAAAGGAAGAACTATTCAAAAACTCAGAGGTGCCTGGGCACCGATTACAACGTAATTTTCAGTAGTGTTCATCAGCGACCAGGTGAGATATGGAAATCACAATAAGTCACCGAAGAGGTGCTCATATCCCCAATCAAAAACTGGACTGAAACTAAGTGACTTATGACATCCAAGCTCTGAGTGATCGACTGACCGGTTTCAACAAAGAACTATTCACAGTTTCGAACACAAACTATTGCTCATAATCATATCAAGGCATTATTCACTCACACAACTTTCTGGCTTCATTTATATACATGAGTAAAAATTCATGATCAGACGTTTGAGTAAAATCAATATAAGATCAGAAAGTACATTCAGAAATAATAATAATATTAGTGTTATCATTCAAATACAATCAGATGTGAAATAAGACGAGTGCTTTTGTAATTCCATTATGGGTAAATTTACCCATAATGGAATTACACTCTACCACAGTGCACAAGTTTTATCCTTATATCAATGAGTGCTTTTGTAGTTGATATATATATATATATATATATATATATATATATATATATATGGTGATCTCTCTTTCTGTTTGCTCGCTTAGTCTGTGACCATTTCACTTTGATGAACCTGTCTCCTTTAACAATGTATATTCCCCTTTATATTATATATAATATGAGTGTTTGTTGACAGTCCGTTGCTTGGTGACATATATCCATATTATATGTGTGGTTGTTGACATATCTGCTATATTTCGCTATGTATATATGGATCGATACTCCATTATAATTAGCCATTCATGTTAAGACTGTCTATTGATTTGTTCACACACTTGTCTGGACATTCATATATATTTCGCTATCACAATCTTGTGTGACTCTACTTACTTTTGGTGTGATACCACTTATTGCTTCTCCTTGTGTTTGGAAAATAGAAGTATCATCGCAAACCTAGTGGTCTTCTGATTTCCGACTTCTTGCGTCAGGACCATTAAATTCTCGACCAGTACATAGCAATAATTTGGCGACGAGAACATAATAATTTGGCGACGGGGAAAACCACAGCAGCAGCAACATAACAGTAGTCAAATTAAGTAACTTACAATGTTATAATGTACGTGAATTGAGATAGAACTTTAAGATTATTTATTATCCTCCTTTGATTTGACTGACTGCTGGTAATAATATCTTCCAGACATATATCTGGTATTTGCATTGAGTCATTTCTATTGCATGTGTTGTGTTGGCTGAAAACTCGATGAACAAGGATTCAGTAATCAATCTCTCTTCCTCTCCACCTACATAGATTACTTCTTAGCATCTTAACCCTCTTCCATCCTATTGTGTAGTTCTGTATTAATGCATGCAGTGCGATTGAAGATGTTTTTTCTAAATTACTTATCTTCTCGGGGTCAACCATTCTTACCTTAGCCAAATTCCTATTTCACCAATCTGGACCCAGTTAAACAAAAAAAATATAATTTAAAAAATACCCTGCAATCACTGTGAGTTAAGACAACTACATAGGTCGAACTAGTAGATCAGGTGGGGGTAGTCAGATTGTCGGAACATAACAGTTTAGGTAAGGTAAGAATGGTTGACCCCGAGAAGATAAGTAATTTAAAATAAAAAGCTCAGTCTCCGTTTACTTTCTTCTTGAAGTAGACAGTAGTATGTTGGAAACCAATAAAAAATCTGTATGACTTTATGTTATGATCTAAAGACAAAATTGGATAATTCGAACAAAAAGTAACAGAGGAAAGTAATGAATGCATTATGCTGGATGTAAATTTAGATCCAGCCTAATAACTTTAGCTGGATTGGAAACATATTGAAAAGATTTTTGAGTGATATCAAGCACCAAGAAGACCCCCAAGTGTGGGATCCGAACAACAACAAACGACAAGTTGGGCATGGGTGTGACAGTAAGAAGCCGGATGAAATTTTCAATGGGCAATCGTACAGCCAGTTAGAACAGATCACAGAGAACACAGTGAAATGGAGATGTCGTGCTCTGGTAAAGCCCCATGGTTCCCTACTCGGAACCATAGGGAACAATAATATAATAAACATAACAGAAGTGGCTTGAATACGCCACCCCATAAGCCTAGCAAACAGAAAATGTGTTCCGAGTATCTAAGTTGTAATCAGATGATCTGAGAAGTGGAAAAAAAGGCAGTGTAAAACATTTGTAGTAATTAAAAGAAATGTGATTTAGAATGTACCCATAAATTAATAAAAAACATATTTGAAGACATCGGATTCACAGTGAGAGAAGAAGAATTAGATAACAAAATCCCATTTTTAGATGTCTTAATCAGGAGAACCAACAACACAGGAAATTTAGAAAGTATATAGAAAATCAACACACATACACATAGATCAAATACTCAACTATACTAGCAATAATCCAATTACTCACAAAAGAAACTGTGTGCAGACATTGTTTAAAAGAATTCAAAGACAACACTGTAGCACTCCAGAGAAAAATACCTACAAACGATCTTCGAAAAGAATGGTTATCCCCTCCACAATTTCATCAAAAAGTGTTTCAAATCGAATCATAACACCAACAGGGAGCCATCATCAAAGACCACCAGAACATTCATCCTACCATACATGAGAAATATCTCTGAAACAACTAACAGCTAGAATACCATTCGATATAGATATAGCCAGCACACAAGCCACCCAGTCAAATCGCTCAATTCGATATTATGCAAACCGAAAAATCAATCCAACAGAAAAACGAGATAAAATTAATACCAGCCACAAAATAAATTCAATCTATGAACTGTAACAGGCATTACATCGGTCAGTTAAGTGGGCGTCCCCTTCGAATCAGAATCCAGGAATACAAATCAGCCATGAAAAGACAACATATATATTCCTGTTTCATATCAATGCATATAGACAATTATGGACATCAGTTTGATAACTGGGATAATGTCGAAATCTTAGACAGAGGAAACACCACCAAAAGTGCAGTCAGGGAATTCCTAGAAGCCAAGCCTGGTACTCAACCGAATATGCAATTAACAAACACATTAATATAGACCAAATATACCACCAACTAATAAAAAGTAAATCAGATGACCAGAAAGTTTAAAATCCAAGTCAACAGAAAATGGTCAATACATATGTAAAGATGGTTACCAGGAGACACAATTATATCACTCATGAAGAAAATTCAAATCATTTGATTTTATGCTAAATATTGCGCTGAAAGAGGATGTTGTCCAGCAGTGGAGGGACGACGAAAGCTCCGCAACTAAACCAACCAGCTCAGAGAACACTATTAATCACGAAGACAGTGTAAACAGCAAAAAGTAAAAAAAAAGAAACACACAGTCGCATACCTCGTTGTACAAAGTATTCTTTCTCCTCTTTTAAATAATCAATTGGTCTTAATAATTCTGTTGCCAATGGAGTTAAACTAATCCGCCACTTTTGTATTTCTTCATTGGTATTATTCAACGATGTGGAATTTGACATAATTATTCCATATACTAAATCCAATTCGATGGAATCATAAAATCCTGAGAAATCTATACCAAATTGTACTGTACAACTTGATTGTGGCTTTAAGTGAGCTTTTCAAAACATTAAAAAAAAATAAAAACAGAAAAGGCGGGTAAATGAAAATTTAAAGTCGAATACTGAATACAGAGATAGTTTTAAAAAAAAATTAAATATTTTCAGTGGCACACGAAACTAGTCGTCTTATTGGTGTAGTGGATAACGAGGTCACCTATTCATCTAATTAATGAGGTTTCAACAACTGAACAATACCACTACTAGCCCCTCCATATACTGTTAGTATGCCTCATAATCAAGTTCATAAACCTGCATTTGTTAGTTAAGCGCGAATGTGACGGAAGAATATATTAATATTCCTTTGGGTTCCTAGTGGATCATCAGGCTTCGGAAGCACACCGCCAGCTCATGCTTTTCTCTGTACTCCTTTTTCAGCTGACTGACTCGACAATTGCCCACAAGTTTTCATTTCCTCTTTACATGACCACCTCCGTGTTACACTCGAAGTGACGACCAACTCATTTAGCTTGTTTCCGCCATTCGAGAGTCTGTCTGGCCCGTAATGTCACTCAACGGCCTAATCAGCGTATGTTCCCCCATCCATCTATCCAACTCCATTTCCTTTAGCACATTTGTTGGGCAGTAAAGTTCATGGTTGATTGATTCAATGTCAAAGTTCTACTGTTTCTCGTCCATTCTGACCACCCATGCGATCTTCAGTATCGAGCTAGCGAAGGCAACTGTTGATGAAAGACTGCAGCACGCTGTTAGAAATGCATTCACTGACATGTAGGCCACGTCTATGAACCACAAACAAGCATTGATTACTCAAAATTACTGTTGAAAACTTGAATCTTGTTCCTTATGATGTTGAGTGGAGTAGATTCCAACATTGATTTTAGAGGGAAACAAAGGTCTGTCTTGTCTAACCGATTCTCTCTTCGATATCCTCATCCGTACCTCCTGCAGTTGAAACAATAATATTCTGAATAGCCAGGTAAATAAAGGAGGTGATTTTCTTCAAACTCCTCTCGCTGATGATGATTGGTTCTTGTTGCTATTGTTGATGATACGTACTCATCCACTCTGTCTTCTCTATGTTTACTTGAAATCCTGTCTTGGTTGCCTTTTCTGCCAGCTTCTTGGATTTCAGATTATGGGACTTGTGAAGATTTGTATTAAATTAAATTATTAGTTTTCCTCACGAACAAACATAAGTTAGACAGCTGCGTAGTTCTAGTTTGGAACTCTTCACTGGTGTGCATGCAACTACTCACGACCCCACACTAGGAATGGAACCCGGGCCTTTCAGGTTACGAGACGAGCAGTGAAGTAATGGAAAACTGTTTTTGTCCTAATGTTTGCGACTCCTCAGTGCTAATCATCCCCATGACCTTACACCGATAGAGATCAAACGCGAGACCTTTAGGTTACGAAGTCAACCTTGATGACCATTCAGATACTGGAAGGGAATCCAATGGTAATTTGATGAAGTGTTTTCATTATTCCAGGTATCAGAACAGAAATAAATAGTCAGCGTAATAATAATAAAGAAATAATACTAACGAATATGTGATGAGAGCTATCTGCAAGCCAATATTGTACACAACAATTTACGTCAATGTATTATTATTATTGTTTACTTTAATTCCTAGAGGAACATAGGGCTTCAGCCAAACGTCTCCATTGCGTTCGGTTCTTTGCTACAGTTTTCACCTGGCTCTAAGTCTGCCCACATGTTTTCATCTCCTCTTCACATGACCTGCTCCATGTCACCCTTGGACGACCAACTCACCACTTCCCTTTCGAGTTCAACTCGAGGGCTTGTCTAGTGATGTCACTTGATGGTTTGTTTCCTCAGAGTATGGTCAGTCCATCTCCATTTCTTCCTGTCTGTTTGTTGAACAGTCAGTTCCTGTTGGGTTGGTTCGCTCATTGTCAGAGATCCCTATTGCTGATCTTGATCGTGAGTAGTATTGATAGAAGACAGCTGTTACTGAAGGTCTGTAGTTTTTTTTTTGAGGTGTTCTTTATGACGCACTGGGTCTCTGATCCGTGCAGTAAGTAGCACTGGCTTCACATTGGAGTTGAAAATCCGGATGTTATTTTTAATGCTGAGTGTTGTTGATCTCCACACAGACTTGAGAGTAATGAAAGCTTGTCTTGCTTTCCCGATCCTCGCTTTTGTATCCTCATCAGTTCTGTCAGCCTATAGTTGAAACAATGCTTCCCAGGTAGGTAGGTAGGTAAAGGAGGTTGTTTCTTTCAGGTTCCTTCCATCTATGCTGGCTGACTTTTGTCTGTTGTTGTTGCCCAGGGATCTTCATCATGTCAATGTTTTCGTCCCAAATCGTGGTCATGAGAAAAAACAACCAATCAGAAGACGTTGTTCATCCACTAAAAATAACGAATAGTAATGTGCATAAAAATTTATAAATACTTCTTGATTTTCTCAATAAACAATCTGTTGCCTAACCCTTTTCTTCTGTCGTTATAAATACACATGAATGTTGTACTCACCTATCGGCTGAAATGATTGTATACGATTAGCATCTAGTAATAACCTTCCAACAATTGTATTCATTAAATCAAAATGTATATTAATAAATTCAACATTAGAAGTACTTTCATTGTACAACTTTAAGCTGATAACAATCAATTTTGGATTAGTTGGCCATATTGTACGTGAATACTGCAGTTGAATGGTTAATTGATCTTCAGGATTAGGATTAGTCAGTGTGAACCATAATGGAGACTTTTCAATAATCTATAGAATGTATATTTTGAAGAATAAAATAAAATTATTATTATTATGCGCATATACCCAAAGATGAATAATAAAATACCACAAAATAAAACACGAAAATATTGTAGAGATATCCTACTTCGGTTCCAATATGTATACTACTACATAATATTGCAGCAAATACGTATCTACAGTAATTGCTCATTAGACTTTACAATTATGTCATATGTAAGAAGAGGTGGTTGGCCAGCTTCATGAAAATTTGTCTTCCAGATGAGGAGTCATCTCTTCCATTTATCTGTTTATCCACTTCCAAATGTTCTCGTGGAACCAGTTTTATCAACTGTTGATCTGGGAGTTGAGCTTTTTGTTCTAGATAATACCTGTCAGTTGGGCTAAATAAAGGCGTTGTAAACACCGTCTCAACAGATAGACATTATATACAGCAAGAACAAAGGTGTGTGGTTTGTGCAGAATAAGATGACAGTACCGTCATTGTTTGTTTCGTTGGCTTCTCATCAGCTCAGCTGTGCACACAGCCTAAATAAATTGTATTATTAAGTTTATAGACAGACAAGTTTTAACATATTTGCAAATTTTTACATGATATCAGTTGACAGGAGGCTCCCGAATTAGTGAACAGTGCTCAGAAAATTACGCTTATACATATTAGATAAGTTCTTCTGTTAAATTATCACACAGTGAGTGATGCAGTATTATTAACAACTGGATGACAAGGTGGTTTCGAGCATAAATTATTTATTACTGCTCCTTATTATATCAATTCAGTCACATGTTTTCACAATTTGACTTACATATATATTTTCTCCCTTTCTGTCTCTGCGTTGCGTCATTACGATTGTGCGTGTGACGTGTTGGACCGATTAATAAAGACTCAGTGAATAACCCCCCTCTCTCTCTATCTCCACCTAACTATGTTATTTCTTAGTGCTCTCACCCTGTCCCACCCACCCATAAAAGAGCCTTGAAACTTCATAATTACCCTGATAAATTAGTCAGAAAATAAGTAAGGAAATATAAAAATAAAATAAATAATGATAGTAGCGGTAGTGATAATAATAATAATGATAATGATAATAGTGATGATAATAATAATAATATTGATGACGACACCAACAATAAGGAATCTAAATCATCAGTAGTAACTCCATACAAGGAAAGGACCTCGGAAACCTTACACAGAATTCTTAAGAAGGCAGGAATTAAAGTGGCTGGCATTCAAACCACCCACAAACTCAATTAGAAACAAGCTTTGTCGGTTAAAGGATCAGTCCTGTGGAGCTTTCAACCGACAAAACAATTTAGTTTATCTAATACCCTGTCTGTGATGATTATCACGTCAAATACATATCTCAAACTAGTAGAACAGGGTCAGTCAGTCAGTCAGACTAACAGAACATAAAAACCTGGCAGCTTGATCTAGATTGGTTGACCTGAATAAGATGAGAAATCTAGAGAATAGTTCAGCTATACCACTCACTGCATGCAGTTACACACAACCATACAATAGGATGGGACAGGATGACAGTTTTGAAATCTAATGTCACAGAGTGGAGGGAGAGGTTGATAACAAAAGCTTTGTCTATCAAATCAACTGATAGGGAATAAGTGTAGTAGGAATGACTGAGCACCTGTTCCAGACATCTAGAAAATTCTACTAACCCTACGACAACAAATAGGAGAGAACGAGGAGAACTAAAAAACTCAAGTTTCGAAGTCGTGTGATTATGATTGATGAGGTGATTATGAACAGCAATAAATTGTGTTCGAAACCTCGTCATCCAGTTGGTATTGCTACGCCTGTCTATTGTGGAATTTATGAATTTTAGAAAGTACAAAAATAAAAAATATTAGTCTCAGTTTGTATACAATTGGTGGATGGTGGCTAGCAGTGGAATCCAGGATGCGCATTTCGTCCTATTTGGAACTCGTCAGCTGGACAATTAGTCGCAGTTATTGTGAATTAGTGAATACTTATCAAGGTGATCATAATAGTAACAACAAGGATAAGTGCATGCATCCTAGATAGTCAATCACTGTGAATATACAAGTGGAATGTACATGTTTATAGGATGTAGAGAGGAAAAACAACTATTGTTGTATTGTAGAGAGATTAGATACTAGAATGTTTGGTTTTTGTGATCACTTGTGAAAGTAAGATTACAACATACAATTATAACACAATATAATAATGCTGATTGCCGACTGCTCAATAAATATATGTACGAGAAACTGGAGATGGATTGATCAGGCATACGTTGAGGAGGGCATCGAATGACAACCCACTCATCGATACCGATTGGAATTCTATTCGAGTGATGATCTGTATTGTGCACGATGTCAGTGCGACGGTAACATGGACGAGATGAGATATTATTGGCAGTTGTTGAGCTAAGAAGCTGAAAACAACGGCAGAAAATAGAACAAAGTGGAGATGTGTTGATGAAGCACACTATATTCCACTAGGAACCAACGGGAACAACAATAATGATAATGCTGATGTGTTGTTGGGATATGTTTGTTGCACATCAAAAACTAATCAAATCAATACGGGAATCTGTTGCAATCAAATCAGGATAGAGAACAAGATTAGGATTTTCAACATTAATATCCAGCTAGTCAGTTCTTTTATATGCTTCAGAAACTTCATGTGGATTTATTTTATTCCTTTACGCTCCTACTGGAATATAGGCAGGCTTCAAGTTAGAGGCTTGAAGTTTCAATAGCAGTGGTGGTTTTATTTTTACATAATAGGGTTGCTAGCCAGCCTCATGCCCAACCTCGCCTATTCACCAGTCTTATTAACGGCTTAACGAGGTAAAGGAGTGCGTCACTGGCCAGGGATCGAACCCCGAGCATTATACCGCTGAACCACCGGCTACCATACCACCAAGTTGAAAACTTCGGTTCTGCCTCCAACTTGGCGTGTGATTCATCAAAAATTATTTCCAACAGGCTACAAACATCCATCAACAGCTGTTTTCACTGGCTACATACTGAAGATCAATCAGCAAGGATAAGAAACAAGAAACTCTGGCAATGAACCAAACCAACGAACAACCAGTTAGTTTCTTAGCATCTTGAGGACTCCAACCAAACAGTCTACATCTACCTACATGGCTAGCTCAAAACTAACTGTCAAAGGCTTCATAAACTGAAGCCAGGTTTTGATTTGACCACCCCCTAACTGTTTTCCAAACCAACCGTATGTGATTTAATTGAATGTAAGATTTTCCCGTCGATTGACTGGATCGAAGTGTTCGGTCTCAGGTTGACATGTCGGCTTCTTGAGCAGATGCTTCGACGATGTCTGGGCATTTAATTAGAATTTAATTTGTGGACAGTGACTAGCAGTGGAATCCAGGATAACCCGCATTTCGTCATATTTGGGACTCGTCATCTGGGTGTACCTGCATTTCCCAGTGAGTGATGATGCTCCCTCCGAGGCTCAAATCCACTGACCATAGTTTCAGACGCCAAAGCGTGACCCAGATGGTCTAGTGGATAACGATTTGGCATTTGAAACTATGGTCACTGGGTTCGAGCCTCGGTGGGAACATCATCACTCACTGGGAAATGCAGTTACATCCAGCTGGAGGACGAGTCCCAAATATGACGAAATGCGGGTTATCCTGGATTCCACTGCTGGTCACCATCCACAAATTAAATTCAACCGTATGTGAGCTAGCATTGCTTGTCAAGGAAGATGGTGGTTTGACATGCACAACAAGTGTCCTAGTCATCTCATCAATCAATATAGATAACTGCATAGCATCATTGATCGACCTCATCCTTTCCACACCTAACTTACATATTACTTACTAGAAATAGTATTGTGGCTGAGAATCCAAAGAATCATTACCTGCCTATAGGAGTGGGGAAAGCGTTTTATCACTTAAGGTAGGGATTAATTTCTTCAGTGAAGAACAAACTGTCATTTTGTGTCACATCACTGTGTGAGTGTACAAATTCACTCGTTTTTGTAGAGCTAGTTATATAAGTTCTACTATTAGGGAGAACAGAAGTCATACAGTCCCACCAGAGTCCATTTATAGAAATATATATATATAATAAAGAATTTTTTTTTCAAAACAATAAAATTGCTATAAACTATATTCACCTGAATGGGATAATCAACACACTCAAGAGTTGTCGGCGGTGGTTGTTGTTGGTGTTGTCGTAATGAATCAGAATGATTAGAAGGCGAGACAGTTTGACTTTGGTGTATTTCAAAGGAGCAGTCTAAAAGTATAAAAAGGAAAAAAGAAGTTCCAGTTAAAATTTGCTAAGCTGCCCAGCCCCTCCAAAAATACTCTTAAACAACCGTAGAATACAACATGAATAACCTTCATTCTAAAACTGGTTGGTTAGCATCATTAGCCAACTGACCATGTGGTAAAAAGAAAAAAATGCAGTAAATTAAAGTTTTTCATTAGCTAAAATGCAAACAAGCCTAGTATAGTTATGACTGCTTTGTAATTTATGCAGCATAACGAACTGTTGGTATTAGATGGTTGAAGGCAATCGGGGCCACAGGAAGCCTTGGCTAGACCTACTTATATTTCGTGCTAGTTGGCACTCACCGGTCAGTCATCAAGGCGTATCTGCAACTGCCTTGAAGGAACTCATGTCTCTTCCAAGTTTCGAACCCGCGTCACCCACAGTACTGCCCTGCAGCCAGAGATGTTAGCACTAAGCTATTTAGGATTGCAACTGACCTCCTGTAGGACTGTATTGGATATTTTTGATTGCATACTAGTCATTAACTAGTGTAATGTATCGAATCCTATCTTTGATGCAGAAGATAGCTACTGCACTATTTACAATAGTATCCAATCAAAGTATCCAAATACAGTCCTACAGGAGGTCAATCGCAAGCATGAATAGCTCAGTGGTAACGTCTCTGACTGCAGCACTGGGTCAAATGGATCCGAATTTCAGAAGGTTCATGAGTTCCTTCAAGGAAGTAACAGACACGCCTTACTGACTGACAGGTGAATGCCAACTAGCAGGCTAGGCTGCCTGCCAATTGCCTTAAACCTCGGTTCGAACCCCGGTGGGAGCGTACTGCTGAGGAGTCCCTGACTAGGCTGACGAGACAGCTGTCCAGTACTCCCCTCCCAGGTTTTCCAACGGTCCCCTAACTAATGTCAGCTCATGATGAAATCCTGTAACACATCAGATGTAGTTAGGCGGCATTGCAAAGCTAAGTTATACACTCTCCTAAACTCGTCAGCGAGGAAGTTTACGCCTTGTTAAATTGACAAATGAATATATAGGACACTGATATGAGAATGAGTTGTTTTAGAAGACATATGAGTGAAAACGTTCAAATTTGTAAGTTGATTGGTCATTTTATTCACCTGATTGTCAGGAAGTTTTACAACACTCTTGGACGTGTGCCCAACATTACACTACGCTGAAAGATCTAATATCATAAGCTTTCATTCCTATCCGATTTCCCTGAACTCATTGTGCAACATACAGTTAAGAGATTGCTGTCCAATTTAATGATTATTGAAATCACTTCGAAATTCAGTCAGCCAATAAGTTACAAGTTCGAATCCCTCTTCACATACTTTAGTCAGAACAACTGATTAATGTCATCAGCCCTCCTCTCACAATAATACGCGAAGCTTATACTCTGCTATAAGAGAAATCTAGTAGGGTAAACTAAATCTTAAACTAGTGAAAAACCTTGACTCGTCGCTGTATGTAGTCGACTTCCAGTCATCAATGAGTTCTGGGTTAGAATCTTGCACGCACACCACTTCAACCAGAGCAACTTATTAATATGATGCTCGCTAGTGACCGACTCCACAGGACGACGTTTCCTGGAGTTTTAGTAAGAAATGGTGACTGGTGGAGTCCAGCGGGTCTGATATGAGGAAAAATAGACGCAGATGACATTTACTGGATATGGCATTGTGGTGACAGCTGGCTGCTAGCCAAATTGATAGACATTAATTTACGACCATGTTTATGTACCAAATATTCGTCGTGAGATAATATATGAACAAAGACTTTACGTGGGCGGACACAGTTAGTATACAGATGATCTGACATTCAAGAAACAGCTACAAAGAGGTGAAAGATTTTTTTTCAGTGAGAAACAACTAATCAGAAGACTGTGTTTTTCTGCTGACAACAATCGATAATAATGTACATGAAAATCTATAAATTGTGTTGATTTCTTTAATAAACGGTCTGTTGCCTGGCCCTTGTCTTCTGTTGTTACAGCATTAGAAATTAGCGAATTGGAAGAATTTAGGATTGATGGGCAACTAGCTGCCCCGTGTACCAAAGGTTGAAGAATAATGGTGAACGAATTCACCTCATAACTTGAAAGTCCTGATTTGGATTCCTATTAAATGGCATCATGATATCATGCGTACTACTGAAGAGTCGCAAACTAGGAAGAAACGACTGTCCAGCGCTAAATGCTAGTTTTCAATACTTCTCTAGCTGATATAAAAATCCGTGGTTAATGAATTAATTTTATGCCTCAGATATGTACTCTCCGGCCTAGAATATTGAATACTTCATACTATAACAAAAACGAAGTACAAAGTAGAAATCAATAAATAAGTGCTTCACTCACCTTCAGAATGCGGTAAACACGAATTGCTGGTTAGAAGAGCCAAATTAGAAGTGGAATTTACAGACTTTTCATTATCTTCAATTGATTTATAATCGTTGAAGTCTATCTAAATGATAAAAATGATGCAACATCATGCATAGCTAAGTCTGCTTAATGAAAAAAAAACTTGTTAAGATAAAAAGTATTTACAGTTTGCATAATGAGGCGGGAGTATCCTCTAAAGAGGAGTATCTTAGAAGTCGATTTTTTCACTTCATCCCTTTAAAAATTAAAATGCAAAATGTCTTAATCAGGAGAACCAACAACACAGGAAATTTAGAAACACAAGTATAGAGAAAATCAACCCGCGCACACACAGATCAAATATTCAACTATACTAACAATAATCCAATCACTCACTCACACAAGAAACTGTGTGAAGACATCTTTTAAAAGAGAGTTCAAACACACATTAGCACTCCAGAGTTCAAAAGAATGAAAGAAAAATACCAACTAAAGGTCTTCAAAAAGAATGGTTATCCCCTCCACAAAATTTCATCAAAAAGTGTTTCAAATCGAATCACAACACCAACAAGGAACCATCATCAAAGACCACAAGAAAATTCATCCTACCATACATGAAAAATACCTCTTAAATAACAGCTAGAATACTGAAACCGTTTGAAATAGATATAGCTCACAAGTCAGTCAAATCACTTAATTCGATATTATACAAACCGAAAGATCCATCCAACAGAAAAACGAGATAAAATGAACATTTACTAAATAAATTGCATGTATGAACTGTAACAGACATTACATCGGTCAGTTAAGTGGGCGTCCCCTTCGAATCAGAATCCAGAAACACAAATCAGCCATGAAACGACACCATACATATTCCTGTTTCATATCAATGCATATAGACAATTATGGACATCAGCTTGATAACTGGGATAATGTCGAAATCTTAGACAGAGGAAACACCACCAAAAGTGCAGTCAGGGAATTCCTAGAAGCCAAGCCTGGTACTCAACCGAATATGCAATTAACAAACACGTTAACACATAGACGAAATATACCAACTGATAAAAAGTAAATCAGGTGACCAGAAAGTTTAAAATCCAAGTCAACAGAAAATGGTCAATACATGTGTAAAGATGGTTACCGGGAGACACAATTATATCACTCATGAAGAAAATTAAAATCATTTGATTTTATGCTAAATATTGCGCTGAAAGAGGATATTGTCCAGCAGTGGAGGGACGACGAAAGCTCCGCAACTAAACCAACCAGCTCAGAGAACGCTTTGAATTGCAAAGAATGCAATACACACTCGTCCTTTCTTCTTTTTCGTCAACCACTGTGTATTCGTCAAAGAAATAATGATGAGTAATACAATTTGTAATTAGCGTATCGCACTTATAGTGAGTGTAAGGTTGACAGATTGGCTTTCAGTTTTTCCGGCGGCCTGTTTAAATATCACTGGACTCCTACTACCAGAATTTCCATCTATCACAATGCTGCTTAAAGTCTTTAGCATTTCTTATTGTTTTAATCGTGCAATTATATTAAATGACCTATATATATATATATATATATGAACTGGCAAACATATTTAATTACTTTCTCACTATATGCTGTGCTACTTTTTGAAGGAATTGAAGAACAGATGTACAGAATTGGTTTTCTCCTCATATTACGCAGCAACACTACGACAAATGACGCTGTCTGGATTCAACATAGAACTTGGCACCGAAGTGCACCAGCTCGAGTTGCCACGTTCCAAATAGCGCACAGAGGTAGACAAGAAGATGAGTGAAGAGAATCAATACAGTCTGACAAGTATAAGAGTGAAACAGAATGGGTAATGGTAGAAAGGAATATGAAAGATTACAGAGACTGAATACATCTGAGCTGGCCGTTGACAACGATTTTGAGCCATGTCACCTATTGTCTCAAGCCATTGATTCTTAGAGTCAGTCCCGAGGGCCCCAACCCGGAAGTCTGCATCTCCCTAACAGACCGACTCAGTTTAACTGTCAAGGATTTCATGGATTGATGAGGCCATGTTTTTGTTTGGCCACCACTGGCTCTTTTCCAACCTGAACCTATATCAGCTAACAATGCCCGTCGGGGGAGGCGGTGGTTAGGCATGCGCACCACGTGACCTAGCCATCTTAGTCTATGTAACTTCATAACCTCGTCGATTGATTTTCCCTCTTTACCCAACACTCTACGCCTAACGTCAACATTACTTATCTTGTGAAACCACCTAACGTGAGACAGAGATCGCAGACATCTATGATCGAAAGCAGTCAACCTTTTCATGTCTTCAACTCGTATTGGCCATGTTTCAGAGCCATAGACAAGGACGAAACGAACTGCTGAGCAGCGCAGTACACACGTCCGTTGGTTGATAACCGGATGTCACGCCTACGCCAGAGATGGTGTAAGTCAGCGAAAGCAGCTCGAGCTTTTCGGATCCGTGCTGAGATTTCATCGCCAATCAGTCCGTTGGTGATACTGATACAACTTCCCAAATAGGTGAAGTGGTCAACATGTTCTATCACTTCACTCCCTATCACTAAGCTAGCAGTTGACGTAGTCCAGTCCTGTAGCAGCATCTTACATTTTACAGGGGCGAATCGCATGCCAAACATACGAAGATTGCTGCTCAAGGTGTTCAGAAGACTCTGCATTTTGTCAGCATCCTCCCCTAACAGGACTATGCCATCTGCATATTCTAAGTCCATAAGACTATTCCCTGATAACAAGTCGATTCTTAAGTCGTTACGTTCAGTTAAGGATACTTCCGTCAGCATATCTATGATGAAGTTAAACAGAAATGAGGAAAGTGGACATCCCTGTCGGACACCACTGGTTGTTACCAATTCAGATGACAATTCCCCATAAGCCCTTACACGACTACGTGAGTTTGAATAGAGTGCCTTGATTAGTGCAATGTACTTTCTTGGCACTCCCTTCACAGTCAGACATTGCCATAGTACCTTTCGATCCACGGAGTCAAAGGCCGCCTTCAAGTCAAGAAATATGGCAATTGTTGGACGCCAAAAAGTGTGTCTATGTTCTAGAATCTGTCGAAGAGTGAAGATATGATCTATGCACCCTCTACCTGGTCTAAAGCCTGTTTGATTTTCCCTCGTTTGTTCCTCCCGAGTTCTGCTTAGTCTATGCATGATTACTGAGCCTAGGATTTTAGAGACTATGTTCGTTAGGCTGATCCCCCTATGATTACCACACGAGGACTTGTTTCCCTTCTTGAATATGACAAATGATGCACTTCAGATTATTGCGCTTTACATGTATATTCTGTATGAAGAGGAAATTCAGTATGGATAAGATTTTATTTTGATAAATCACACAGTGTTGTACAGTAATACTAACTGATGACGTTTCGAGAACAAACTATTGCCACTCATATTCATATCAAGTTACGCACACAACTTTGTTCTTTCATTTATATACATGTGTGGAATTGACCAAATATTTGAATAAAAATCAATATGGGATAATGTACATTCAGAAATAATAATATGAGTGTTACTGATCAATCACAATTAGATGGGAAAAAAGACGAATGTTTTTATAGTCATAATAAGTAACTTGTTAGAATGTTGTAATGTGCTTGAATTGAAATAGAATTTTGAGATTATTTACTATCCACTTCTGATTTGACTGACTGGTGGTAATAATATCTTCCAAACGTATCTCTGGTATTTGCATTGAGTCATTTCTGTTGCATGTGTTGAGTGTAGACTCGATGAACCAGGCAGGATTCAGTAATCAACCTCTCTCTTCACCTACATAGATTACTTTTTAGAATCTTAACCCTCTCCTGCCACCCTATTGTGAGGTCGTGTGCTAATGCATGCAGTGCAATGCACTGCTGAGCTTTTTTCTAAATTACTTAACTTTTCAGGGTCAACCATTCTTCCTTTTAGTAAATACTTATTTCCCGACAATCTGACTACCCCCACCCGACCTACTAGTTTGACCTATGTATTTGACCTAACTCACAGTCATTGCATGATATTTTGTGAATTATATTATTGTGTCTAATTGGATCAATTGGGTCCTTTAACCTACAAAGCTTGTCCTGCGTGAGAGAGTTTGTAGGCTTATCATAAAGGACCTCAGATGTCCCCTCCTTATATGGTATAACAGTGGATGACTTATATTCTCTCTTATTTATGTTATCATTACTAGTTCCACAATTATTTTTATTTTGTTTTTGGCCTTTACTGATCTTCCTAATGAATTCTATAGGATAGTTAGTTATTTAACACCAACGCTTCTTCTATCTGTTTTATTTCATCATTTAGGTCTTTTCTTGTGCTACTTAGTGCTGTGGCTCCGTTTGAGGAAATGTTTTGGAACTAAATAAGCTTAAAATTTCTGTATTATATGTTCACATATATTCATTGGACACTAGAGTAACTAGTGTGACGTATCTAGTCCTTTCTTTGGTGCAGACTGAATTCTATCAGTCAGTGGTAAAGTCTCTGACAGCAGGCAGCACTGGGTGACAAGGGTTCGAATCTCATAAAAGACACGAGTTCCTTCAAGGCAGTTGCATATATGCCTGGCTGACTGACCGGTGAGTGCCAAATAGTACGAAACGTAGATCCAAGGGGCTCCAACTATTTAATATCATCAAAGGTCAACATATTGTCAAAAATAAATCTTTACAGTTATTATTCACATAAGGTGGATAGATTCAGACAGATAAACTAACATGTTTAACACATTATTCTTCAGACTGTCTTTTAATTGACCCGCCAATTGACAGCTCGAAGGCTTTCTCTGGTCAGTTATCAAACGCACACATTCTACGCTGTATCCTTCCTTTTTCCTTACATGTCGAACAGTTTCGATTTCTGCGCCCGTGATTAAAGGACGCAGTTCTATGGACGCTAATTCGCACTATTTCAAATATTTCACCTACAGTTGTAGTGGAACATATGTGGATGGAACCAACAGAATGTTCCAATGTCGTTGCAAAAAACATGTATGTAGCTAAATGGGGTTGTTAAGTGTTATGTACTCGTTTCCCCGTCGCCAAATTGTTATGTACTCGTCGCTAAATTATTGTTATGGACTGGTCGA